TGTTTATTCCTTTCTAGCAATGACTTATTTTTTTTTTTCTTTCTCTGCTCATAGAGCTTTAGAAAAGTTTTAGCAAAAGCATTGCCTAAAGAGAAACCAATCTCTCTCCCACCAAGGAAGAAAATCAAAGTCCAAACTCTTAGAGAAACTTCAGCCCTGCCATCCTCTTTGCATGTTAAAAACAGAAAACGGAATCCCAGGGAGGACTTCCTTGGTCTGCAGCCCTGAAAGGGTGATGGTGCTGCTGTTGAGTCCCACTGAGGCCTCCCCTTCTGAGTCTGGCCGGCTCTGCCCCCAAGAGTGACTGGTGGGGACCCCCTCCCCAGGCTGTGGCCCTTCTGAGCTGCCCTATGAGAGGAGGCATTTGAAATTCTCAGCTCAAATGGAATGTCATCTTCTTCACTGAAGCCAACCTAGAGACAGAGAGCAGATTTAAGGACTCCCTGCAGACATAGAGCACAGCTTGGAAACAGAAAACAGCGTGTGGATCACCTGGCCCCAGGGGCCCACACATCCAGCACTCAGGATAGCAGCCATTGGTCCTGAGGCCCCACACCTCCTGCATCTGCCCCTCATGAGAAACAACAGCACCCACTCCCGAGCCACTTTCTCTTCCAAGCAGCCAGAAGTGCCCTTCCCAGAAATGCCAGAACAGTGGAGGCCCCTGAGGGGCCCCCATTACAGAGGCAGGAGTCCGGGAGCTGTGAGGAGCAAAGCCTTTTCTTACAGAGCAAGCAACTGTGTGCGCAAAAAAAGGTTTCAAAAAGGAAGGCGGAGGCTTCGCAGGGAACTGCAGCGCCCTTGCCTCGTCAGGGCTGTTGCAAAAGTACATACTCCTCCATGGATGACCCAGAGCCCCATGGCCAGTCAGAAACCAGAGCCCCAGGTCACAGCCTCCAGCCCTCACGTGACAGACTACAACCCACAGCCCCCACATCACAGTCTCAACCCTCAGGTCACAGACCACAAGCCACAGACTACAACCCCCAGGTTCACAACCCACAGACCACAGCCTCCAGGCTCACAGATCATAGACCACAGACCACAGGCCACAGACCATAGACCACAAACTATAAACAACAGGCCACAGATCACAGGCCACAGACCACAGACCACAGACTATAGACCACAAGCCACAGACCACATGCACAGACCATAGACCACAGACCACAAACCATAGACCATAGACCACAGACCACAGGCCATAGACGACAGGCCATAGACCACAGGCCACAGACCACAGACCATAGACCATAGACCACAGACCACAGGCCATAGACCACAGGCCATAGACCATAGTCCACAGACCACAGACCACAGACCATAGACCACAGGTCTCAGGCCACAGAACATAGACCACGGACCACAGATCATAAACCACTGACCACAGACCACAGACCATAGACCATAGACCACAGGCCATAGACCATAGACCACAGACCACAGACTACAGGCCACAGACCACAGACCACAGGCCTCAGGACACAGGCCACAGAACATAGACCACAGACCACAGATCATAAACCACTGACCACAGACCACAGACCATAGACCACAGGCCATAGACCACATACCATAGACCACAGGCCACAGACCATAGACCACAGGCCACAGACCACAGCCTCCAGGCCTCAGATCATGAAATCCAGGTTAGAGATGAGAGACCAGCCACTACGGACAAGAAAATGTTTCTAGAGTGGATAAATATGGATAAGCATGAGATTACTGAGCTCACTCTGTACACACATGTAGCAGCCAACACAAAACACTTCAGAAGGTAAGAAGGTGACCATTTGATAGAAATATGGTTCTGATGAAAACAATTTGTCAGTAAACTACTCTGGCGGGAGGGGGGTTGTCAGGGGCCCCATCCAGTGACTCTGGCAATCAGGCACTGCAGTTCCATGCAAGGCCCAAGGCTGTGCTACTGCTTTGGCCCTGGGGTGTCAAACAATGGAGTTCTGGGCGTGGGGGGAGGGGGCGGGAACCTCCAGGGCTGAACCCAGCAATGCTCAAGGGAGCAGACAGAACAGGGGATTGAACCAGGGTGAGCCACATGCAAGGCACATGCATCAATGTCTGTGACCCAAAACTACTTACTTTTGGTGAAAAACTGCCTTGGACTATCCAGAAGGCTTCGACTGCAAGTTCCCAAATATCGTCTCTAATTTTTTAATTTTTTATTTCATTCTTTTGTAGGGGCCACACTTACTAGTTCTGGGGCTCACTGAGCCACACCCAGCAGTGTTCAGCAGCCCCAAGATACATCAGAAAGCTCCCTGTGGCCAGGGGGCATGTGGAGCCACAGTTTGGACTTAGGGCCTTTCATGTACAAAGAACAAGCTACCACTCAGCTGTGTCCTGCCCGATAACACTTTCTAACCAACAGTTAGGGGCTCTCACCTGCCCTGCTCACTGATTCGGTGATCATGTCAACCCTAGCAAGTTAGGCCAGCCATCCTCAGGGCCAATAAAATACACTTATCTCATCAGAGTGCATCGCTCTCCAAGCTAGGCAACTGAGAAATGGTGTGGATTTCCCTCAATAACAGCACGTCTTCAGTTTCATCATATAGCACACCACAAAAGAGGCCATGTTAACAAATTTCAACAGCCCACTGGCAAGTTTAAAACAAGATACTAGAAATGCTTAACTTCAGAACTAGGTACACAGGATTCAATGTGACTTAAATGCTTCACAGCACAAATTTGTTTTTTCATATATGATTTGCAATCTAAACCCATTTCCAGTGGAAAAGACAATACTGAGAAGAAAAGGGTTCTACAGAAGGACCAGTCCAGGCCACTCGGGAGAAAGAGTGGAAAGTAACCCAAATGCTATAAACACTGTAGAAGCTATTGATTCCACCACATCACAAGTCACCAAGACAACCCAAAGTACATAGAGTCACTGTCACTGTCACTGTCCTCCCGTTGTTCATCAATTTGCTCGAGCGAGCCCAGTAACGTCTCCATTATGACACTTGTTGTTACTGTGTTTGGCATATGTTTATTTGTCTCAAACAGCTCCACTTTGGAGAACACACTGCAAAACGCAAGGTTCTCTGGGAAGGCAGCGATCAACAGCATGAAAGGTGTCTCAGAATAGAATGCATATCTGGAAAACATGCCTGTAGTCAGAAAAATTCTGTGTGTGTGCGTGTGTGTATGTGTGTGTGTGTGTGTGTGTGTGTGTGTGTGGTGTCAGGAATCAACCCAGGACATCACCCAGGCAAGGCAAGTCCTCCATCACTGAGTCACATGTCAGACTTTAAATTTTAATGATTTCACCTGTTTAGATGATTTGACATAGTACTCATCAGACACGAAACTGGTCTATAAGATAAAATGTAATACGCAGATATGACAGTGAGATTGCATTCAAGGGTCTTCGTCTTTGTGGAGAGTAAGTGAAGTGGGGGCGATCACAGCACAGAGGGGCCTATAGATGGGCAGAGGATGGGTCCAGGTGGGTGCTGGGTGCCAGCACCAGGTGCTGCTCTGGGTCCTGTGCAGAGATGAGGTGAGGGACACTGAGAAAGCTCTGTCTTAGGAGGGCCACACTCCATAGTTACCATGAAAGCCAAAGCTCTGACTCACCCAGTTGCCCCCACAAGGCAATTTGGAAAATTCTGATTAGTGGCTTTTTTTTTTCAACATCAGAGTAACCACCTGACCTACCAAAACCCACCTTCATCACTTCCTCCATTCTGCCTTGGCTCCTTACTACCTGTGACCAAGACTGTGAAGAGGTGACAGAAACCGGTGTTGTGGCATGCCTCCAGGATGCGGTTTGGAAGGGGGTGTCGGGAAGAGTCCTGGCCCGGCTCTGAGGCCCACACAGAGCAAGGGGCAGAGAGAGAGAGACAGGAGGGAGCCTGGGACTATGTCAGGGCCAATGTCAGCGTCCCTGGGTCCTGGGTCCGAGCTTCCACCGGAACTACGGAGAAGCTGGGTGGGTGTCCCCTGCCTGGGGCGGGACCTCCCGGTGAGGACGACAGATAGGGGCTTCCTGGGACCCCACAGTGCCGCCGACAGCATCGATCCACTCAGAGGACCGGCTCGGACCCATCTTATTTTTTGCTTTTGCATCATAGCTAGTGATGCTCAGGACTCATTCCTGGCTCTGCGCTCAAGGGTCTTTCCTGAAAGGGCTTGGGGGACCCTCCGATGCCGAGGATCGAAATGCCCGACACGCAGGCTGGCTCTTAAATCCACCCTAACGGCTGCCTCTGGCAGCCCAAGCCCCAGCCCCAAGCGCGTACATCGCAGGGGCGGCGGCGCGGGTCCCGGAGCCGAGTTCCCCGGGGGCGCCGCGCAGCGCGGGGCGGTCGCCCCCTCCCCACCTCGGCGAAGTCTCTCCTCAAGCCCCCCTCCCGGGCCGGCCGGGGCCGCCGCGCGCCCCCCCCCCCCCAGCCGGCTCACCTGGCCGCGCCCGCGCGCGGGGCTGGAGCAATCACAGCCTCGTCGCTTCTCCCGCGATCCGGCGGGGAGCCCGCGCGCAGCCACCGCCGCTGCCGGGGGAGTCTTGGTTACAGAATCCTGCGCCGGGAGCGCCTCGCTTAGCAACGACCCTAAAAAAGCGCGGCGCGCGGCTCACACTCGCGGGGCGGGCGACGGCCACCCCCTCCCGGCGCACGCCGGGCCCCCTCCCGCGTGGCCCCGCTGGCCGCGAGTGGCCCCGCCGCGCGCCCGGGCCCCGCGCCCCCCGCGCCTGCCCCGTCCGAGTCGGGGTCGGCATCCGCACACGGGTTCCGGGGGGGCGCGGGGGGAAGGGGCGCCGCGAGCCCGGTCGGCCGCACCCCCTCCCCGGAGCCCGGCCGGGGTCCGAGGCTTCCGCGCGGCCGCGGCGCGCTAAGGGCGAGGCCGCCCGGACGGCGCGGACCCCGCGTCCCGCCGCGCGCCGCCGCCTCGCAGGGTCCCGCGGGTGGCCGAGGCCCGGCCGGGACCCCCGCAGCCCTGGCCCCGACGACTCCCGCCCCGGTCCCCGCGGTGCGCACCTTCCTCAGCGCGGACATCGCGGCCCGAGTTCAGCAGGTGCACGGCCAGAGCCGCGCGCGCCGCGTCCGGCCCGGCGCTCCGTCCCCGCCGCGGCCACCGCGCGCTCCGACCGCGCTCGAGCTCCGCGCACGGTCGGGCCTGGCGGCCGGCGCCTGCGCACTCGGCGCCCGGGGAGGCACCGGCGCACTGGGGGGCGGCCGGCGCGCTCCATCCGGAGAGGGGCCGGTGCCCGCGCGCGGGGGGGCGCTCCGGCCGCCGCCGGCCGACCCCGGCCCGCGCCCGCGCGCGCGGGACCCGCCGGGGCCGCGCCTCCGCCGCGCAGCGGCCGGCAGCCAACTGTTGCGCGGGGTGCGACGGGTCGCGCGGGGACAGCGACGGGCTCCCGGCGGCCAAGGGAAGGTCCCCCCGGGGTCCGCGGCCTCCACCGCGGCGCGCGCGAGCCGCGGCTCCGAGCGCTGAAAAGTTGGGGAGAGAATCTGGCGCGCGCCGCGACACCTGGACCGGCGCAGCCCCGGGGCTGAACGAGGGACCTGCCGCGCCTCGTGAGCTGAGCTCCGGCACGCCGCCGAGGCCTCTGGGCGAGGGTGGCGTGCAGGACCCGTGGGGGCCGCGAGCTCTGCTGAGGGATAGCCCCTTGCACCGCGCCGCGCCTTTCCGGGGAGCCTGGATCCCCGTGGTGGCCGTTGTGATGAGCCCCAGGGCTGGCCGCCGCCCACTTGTGCTTTGGTGTCCTCTGGAGGGCAGGGCAGGAAGCCTGCAGTCACACACTAGAAGGGCCCTTCCGGGGTGGGGTGGCCACGGGGCGTGCTCCGCACATCCCCCGCTGTCCAGATTCTTGCAGCAACGGGCCCAGCCAAGCGACCAAAGGACGGGAGAATGGAGGAAAGGGAGAAACCCCGGGGTGAAAGTGTGAGGGGAATGGATGGCGATGCAAGCAGAGCAAGAGAACTGGGAACGCGTTATTTGGGCTGGGGCAAAGGAATCTTCCTGGGAACTCAAGATCTTCCAATAGACTCCTTACGTCTATGTCTTATATCTTAAGTCGATATCTTGATATCATTGATTACTCGTATTAATCAATAGCGGTTGATTTTCAAAGTCAAGTTCTAACTTCGGAGGAAGAGGGATACAAGATGCGTAGAAATCCGTCCCCAAGCGCACCTTACCTCCCAAATTGTCTCCACTGTCTAAGCTAATGGATTGTGTGCTAGACCTCTAAGGCCTCCATTTAGAGTAGCTTTAAAAACATTCCCTCCATTTTTGCTTCTTTCCACGTGTTCCTGTCCATCCAACTGTTCACACACATTCACTCATGCCACGGCAAAATCAACAGAAGATGGTCTGTCTGACATGTGGTCTCAATCTGTGAGCAAAGATCCAGAGGACGATCCGCCAGTTCCTCGGAGCTTTCTGTCTAGAGAGGGAGTCGTTTTCGAAAACAAGTCACATAGCAATTATAAATTGCATCTGTAACATGGAGGGTGTATTAGGGGGTGTTTTAAAGTGACAAATCCAGCTTGTGCTATAGGGAGGGATCCTTAAAGGGGAACGATTAAGTGATCACAGCCCTTTCTCTAGGTTCCCATCAGATTTGTGGGAGGTGACTTGTGGGGGGTGGGGTTGATTTCAGGAAACCCATGGGAGGAAACAGAAAGCGTGAGATGGGAAGGCAGGAATTTGGTAAAAGTTCTGTGAGCCCCCAAAGCACGCTGCAAAACAGTTCTCAGCCGGGTGTAAAGCTGCATGTGTTTCCAAGTCACCTGACTTCATCCCCAGTGAGCAAAGGTGTCACCTGCACCCACCACAGTTTAGGCCCTACTCTAAAGAAAGCCTTGTGCTGCCCTGCAGGGCTGAGCTGCCTTGCAGCTAAGGACAGGGCACTGCAGGGAAAAACAAAGAGAGCCAGAGTTGCACATCTGCCAGGACCCTGGAGAAGGAACAGGGTTCAGGTGAGACCAGTGAGGGCAGCAGAGCTTATGGTCTGGAGAACTGCATGTTGGATATCCCCGTGCCCCCGAAGGACTTGATGCCTTTTCTTTTTTTTTTCTTTTTTTGCTTTTTGGGTCATACCAGTGATGCACAGGGATTACTCCTGGCTCATGCACTCAGGAATTACTTCTGGTGGTGCCCAAGGGACCATATGGGATGTTGAGAATCGAAACCGCGTCAGCCGCGTGCAAGACAAACGCCCTACCCACTGTGCTATTGCTCCAGCTCCTTGGTGCCTTTTCTTGGTCTTTGAGGGAACTGGGACATTGTGAACAAGGAAGAGAGGAGCAGGAGCATCCTACAGGCCTTTTTGGGACAGTTGTACCCTGTTTGACACTAGAAGTAGGATTTAGAACAGGGAGATAAAATTTCATACAAATTCATGCCATTTCTGGACATAGATGATTTTATCGCTCCCTCCCCAATTCTTCCTTTTATTTCCTATTCTTATCACACCACATCAAGCAGGAATCCCTCTGGGGTGTAGGGAAGGAACCTCTAGAAGAGACCCCTGCCTGTTTTGATGGTGGAGAGATCTCCTGTGAGGGGTCTGTAGATGCTTTTTATCAAGTTGAAGGAGTTCCTTTCCTTGTTTGGTGAGTTTTTATCATAAATGAATGTTAGATTGTCAAATTTTTCATTATCATGTGTCTTCTTTCACTTGTAAATGTGATAGATGATTTCTGAAAGGCAACAAAACATTTACCAGATCATACTGGCTACTTACAAGAGAAGATGGAGGTAGAATGGGAAGGAGGAAACAGTGGTGGAGGTGTTACTGGTAGCACACACACTGATGGGCTATAGGGAAGGGGGGATGGGCTTGCACAATAGCACCTGATTCTGGTCTGCAGCCAGGCTGAAAAGTGCCCCTGGAAAACCAGAGTGTGACTTAGACACTGGGCCCTGTGGACTAGGACACTGCAGACCAGGGCCTTCATCGGAGCAGTTACAGTGGAGGGTGGACCACAGGATGAACATGGACTTTGTCATCAATTCCCCAGAACATGGGTGAGAGAAAATTTATAGGGCTCCTGTAGGAGATTCTCCCTCCCCCCCACACACACACTTTATGTGGAATTTACAGAAAGGAAAGTTCAAATGCATAGAAAAAAAGAGATCAAGTTTCTCTGTGACAGTAGGGGGTGAGGTGCAGGACGAGTAAGGGAAACAAAGTTTGTTCAAAGTGAACAAACTTCCCATTATGAAGCAAAAATCCCTTGGGGGTTATGCTGTGGATATGCTGTAGAATCTGCAGCTAACACTTCTTTGTGGTATATTTGAGTATCACTAAGAGCAATTCTTAAAGAGTTCTCACTACAAGGAGAAAAACTTTTTGTTTGGGAGCTATAGCACAGCGGTAGGGCGTTTGCCTTGCACACAGCCAACATGGCTGACCCGAGTTCGATTCCTCTGCCCCTCTTGGAGAGCCCGGCAAGCTTCCGAGAGTATCTTACCCGCACGGCAGAGCCTGGCAAGCTCCCCCTGACGTATTCGATATGCCAGACACAGTAACAACAAAGTGTCCAGTGGAGACGTTACTGGGCCCGCTCGAGCAAATCGATGAACAATGGGAGGATGGTAACTGTGACCGTCTCAGTGATGAAAGTTAAGTAAATTTATTGTGATCATTTCACTGTAGCACTGCACTGCACTGTCGTTCCGTTGTTCATCGATTTGCTAAAGCAGGCACCAGTAACATCTCCATTGTGAGACTTCTTGTTACTGTTTTTGGCATATCGAATATGCCACGGGTAGCTTGCCAGGCTCTGCGGCACGGGCAGGATACTCTCAGTAGCTTGCCGGGCTCTCCAAGAGGGATGGAGGAATCGTAACCGGGTTGGCCATGTGCAAGGCAAATGCCCAACTCGCTGTGCTATCACTCCAGTCCAAAATGTGTAAATTAAGACATGTTACTTTACTGTACACCTTAGATGCACAGTCTTGTGTTAGTTATAGCACAGTAAAATTGGGAGGTGGGGAGGAAAAAGACATAGTTTTCCAAGAGAATATGGTTTCTGGCACAATTTTATTGTCAGGTACAGAAGTCTGGAGTAGGCTTGAACACAGTGGAACGTCAAAGGTGAGCAGGACCAGTTCAGGAGAGGCTGAACCAAGCACACCTGTCCATCATCAAGTCCTTATGTCTCCTGCAGGGATTTTAATGGATTATTTAGACCAATTACAGAGAGCTCCAGGAGTTGCCTCAGTTCACCAGAGCCTTCTAGGCACTTCCTGTCCCTAGGAGCCTGCATTACATCATACCCTTGGTGACCCTCCACTGACACCATCAGCATCACCCAGAGTTCCATCTGCTGGAGGGGCACTCCTGGCACCCTTCATGCTGTGAGTCTGCAGAAATGCATGACTTGTTTTCATAACCAGTATCAGATCCGTTTCACTGCCCCCAGCAGTGCCCTGGTAACCACAAGTCTATTCCCTGTCTCCATAGCTTGAGCCTGTTCCAGAAGTTGGACTAGACGCCTAGTTGGAATCACAGGACATCTTTCAGATAAAGTTCACTAACTCAGCAATATGTACTTATGGGGCTTCTGGTGTCTTTTTAGGCCTGAGAGCTCAATTCTTCTCAGAGCTAAATACCTTCCCATGAACTAGATGGGCCACAATCTATCCATTCACCAATGGAAGGTCATCTGTTTGCTCCCAGATTTGGGCAAATATTAACGCAGCTGCCGTTAACATCTGCGTGCAAGATTTTACACAGAGATACGTCTGATGCTTTGCGTGGGCTAAATTAGCTTGGAGTGCAGTTTCTGGCTGGTATAGTGAGAACGTGCTCACTTTGCTGAGAAAGCACCACTCTGACTTTCTCATACATGGGAGTGCTGGTGTCACATTCAGTTTGCCTTTCCCTGATGCCGCCTTACGGGCATCCGTTCCCAGAGTGAACAGATGCCATTGGGCTACACTAGCACTCGACAGGGACAAATGAGGACGTTACTGGCGCCCGCTTGAGCAAATCCACGACTAACGGGAAGTTAAGTGATTAAGTGATGCCTCACGGGAGGAGCGTCTTCCCATAACCTTACTGCCATCTGTGATTACGTATTCCTTGGCCTGCGTCTACTGAAGACTTTATTTTTCAGTTGTTCCGTTTGGACTCCTATTTTCAATCTCAAGTTATCAGGTTCCTCAGAACACAAATCTGACATGTCTCTATGGCACTGTGCCCTTCTTTTGGTTGTTCTGTGTCTTTTGGTTACATATGTGTGGACTTTATACATATATGTGATATCAACACGTATCAACCTTATGTGTCAATTAAGTGTTATGCGTTGTATTTGGCACTTTGCTGTTCGTACATACTGTGTCATTACTTATTTTATGTGTGATGTGATGCTGTGTGTATCCTCCGCTTAGAAGCCCGTGCCCAATTTCCCTAGTCCACATTCACGATCTTCAGTTTTCCCCCTAAAACCCGTCCTCTGAATTCCTCATAAGCGTTGCCTCTTCTCTTTCAACAGAACGAGCCAGAAGTCACTGGAATCTATGCCGAGGAGTGCGGGTGTGTGGGTGTGCCCGGTGCTCAGCTCACCGTGGCACGAAGACCCACTTCTCCGCCGGCCTGGAGACCCTCACCGCTCCAGCCTCGCGGGCCTTTCCCCTCTCCAGCTTGAGTGCACTGGTCATTCGAGGCGAGGGTGTCCGTCCCTGACCACCCGGTGACCAGAATGCTGCTTCAGCGTCTCTGCGCAAAGCCCAGCGTCCACTGGGCCCCCACCCAGGACTAGCGTCAAGTCCACCTACCCATGTCAGTAGCACTTAGCCGGAGGGGGAGCAACTCGGCTGTCCGGCGGCGCCCACAGCCTTCCCGCGCTCCCCCTTCTCGGCACCTGGACACCCCGTTGGCCTCTCACAATTCCGTCCCCGAAACGCCACTTCCCGCCTCCCCTTCTGCTCGCCCCTGCGCTTAGCCCAGCGGGGGGCTCCGGACATCCCGGGGGCCGGGGGCCGGTAGCCAGAGCCGGGGCTTCCGGTGGCCTGCGCGGGGGCCGGACACGCCAGAGCAGGGGCCGCCGGCGCCCAGGACGCGCCAGCCCCTCTCCGGCCCGCGCCTACACTCGCGACTGCCCAGCCCGCCCGGCGCCCCGGCGCGCAGCCCCTTCCACCTGAGCATGCGCGGAGGACACAGAGCCACGCCCCTACGGTAAGGCCGCTGATTGGGCGGCTGCCCGCGGGGCCCGGGCTCGGATTGGCTCTCCCTGCTCTGTAGGCGGACCTCTAGGTCGGAACCCGGAAGTGCCGGACGGCCGGGCGGCGGGGGTCGTGGGTCGGAGGTCGCGGGTCGTGGGGCGGCATGGCGGCGCTGCGGCGGAACGGTAGGGCCGGGGGCTGGGGGCGAGGCAGGCTGGGGGTCTCGGCTCCGCTTCCGGCCGAGGCTGCTCTTGGGCTGTTTTCTGTTGGCTGAAGCGTGGGGCGTTCGCGGTCGCGCCTTTCGCGGTCTTGTTTCCGTTACGTGGGCGGTTCTGGTTCGGAAACGCGGGTCCGAGGTCTTAGGTTCGGAACGCTTCTCTCCAAGAGCTCCCGCCCGTGAGCCTGGGGCCTGCTCTTCCTGCCGACGCCCACTTTGTGGATCCCCCGTTAGCCCGTGCTCCCCCGGTGCTCCCCTGGTGCTTCCCGCGTGCTCCCCTCATGCTGCTCTCCGTGCTCCTCTCGTCTCCCCTCGTCTCCCCTCGTCTCCCTGCTGCGTTCCCCGTGTGCTCCCCTTGTGCTTCTCGTCGTGCTCCCCTCCTCCTCTCCGTGTTCCCCTTGTGCTCCCCTCATGCTCCTCTCCGTGCTCCTCTCGTCTCCCCTCGTCTCCCTGCTGCGTTCCCCATGTGCTCCCCTCGTGCTCCTCCCCCTGTGCTTCCCTTGTGCTTCTCGCCGTGCTCCCCTCCTGCTCCTCTCCGTGCTCCCCTCGTCTCCTGGCCGCGTTCCCCTTGTGCTCCCCTCATGCTCCTCTCCGTGCTCCCCACCGTGCTCCCTCCGTGTTCCTCTCCTGCTCCCTGCCGTGCTCCCCCTCGTGCTCCCACACTTGCGTGGGGCCTTCGGCTGCCGAAGCCACGGTGCTTTGTGAGGTTGGTGACAGTGACTCTGAAACCCTTGGTGGAGGGTCAGAAATGAGTGGGCACCACTCTTGGAAAGCTGCTCCCGGGTGTGTGGATTAGTAGAGAAAAAGGCATGCTTTCATCTTCCTTTTATGTACTTTGCTCCGGTGCCCCCCTCCCCCCCCCCACCCCCACGCACGCTCAGACCTCACTGTTGGCTCTGTGCTGGGGGATCACTTCTGGAAGGGCTTCCAGACCATATGTGGTGCCAGGGACTGAGTCGGGGTCCACAAGGCAGGCGCCCCCCTCACTGCACTCTCCAGCCCCTCTCCTTTCCTTGGGTGTTTGGTGCTCACCGAGGGGACTGTGGTGAGCAGGAACTCTGGAGGAAGATAGACTCCCCTGTGTCTCTCACCAGCCTTGTACTCGGTCTTTTCTGCCCCATGGTTTTCGCTTCCAATCTCTCATCCTTGTTCAGAAAGGAATATTGTAGAAGGAAGAGCTCCTATTTCCATTTTCACATCAGAGCCAGTCAGAGTGGGCTGCACACCCAGTTCCTCTGATGTGGACCCTAGGCGAGGCACAGGCAGAGTACTCCCTCCTCCTGTCCTGCTCCCCTTGGTCCTCTCTGAACTCATGGTTTCTGGCCTAATACCTTGGCAAGTCGAAAAAAGAATTCCTTGAAATGCTGCCACTGCCGTTAGCACCTCTGTTCAAAATGGAGCAGCCTCTCCGTCGGCACTCCCCAACTGCCACGTCTAAAATCGACTGACGGCATTGAGGTGAGCTCAGAGTCACACATGTTGTACCAGCAGTTTCTCCTGTCTGGCGTGTGCACAGCCATGCACAAATGCACCGTGACTGCGACCCAGGCTCGTCTGCACACTCCCTGCACATGTGTGGCATGACTTAGACTAGGGCTTGTGGGTGCACATGCACGCACACATGACAGAAACCAGGGCTGTGACTGAGATCAGATCTGTGCCCACACACATGCCCCGTGACACGCCCAGGCACACATGCCCCCGTGATGGAAACCACTTCTGCACATGTCCAGACACGTGAGCACTGGCTGAGACCAGGGCTCATCTGCACACAGCTTCACACTACCACCAAGCTCTGCACCTGACCTCTCTACTTTAGGGGAATGTTGGCAGTTTTTCCTCAGGGCCCAATCCGAGAGGACAGTGTGCTGAACATTTCCTGCTTAGATTCAGTGGGCTGAGCACGTGCTTGGTATGTAGGAAGGTTCAATATCCAAGCACAGCCAGGAATAGCCTGAAAAAGAAATAATTTTCTGTGTGTTTGAGCTGAGTCTTTATATTAAAATAGCAAGTTTAAACCACAGTTTTCTGAACATTGTACCAAGATAACTCAATTCTCCCTGGCAAGGAAACCGGGTCTCTTTGTTTGCTATTTCATTGCATTAATTTCCCATGGAATGTTTTCCTCCATGCTGACCTTATCTTGTTCCTCATTTCCCAGTTCTGTTTTCCTGGTCCATATGGTAATTATATTTGTTTTTCTGCAGGTCATTTTTTCCCCAGTTGGCATTAAACAGACTTCCCTGCTTTTTAAAATTTTTCTTACTGCTTTTTTGACAGACACCCGAGATGCAGGTTAGAACTTGTGATGAGAAGCATGCTCAGAGGGTATGTGAGGAGAGGGGAGGAGGGGAAGAGAGTGGGTCAGTGCTAGGTGGGTAGAGACCTCGGCTCCGACATGGAACAATTGTACTTGTTCGGTGCTATCACTCAGAGCCTGTGGCTGGGAGGTCTTAAATGCCTTCTGGGCCACAGCACCTGCTTTTGGTTTATTTTTTAGCACTTTGGAAACCAGATGAAAAAGAGACAACACAAAACAGAATTTTTCTAGACCTAGATTTGGGATAGGTTAGCATACATATGCACACCAGGTCAAAAGGAGCATCTCAACACAATGAAAGTAATAAAATATATTTTGCTTGCAGAGGAGACGAAAGATGTTGCTTAGAGACTGAGATTGTCTTTCCTAGTGATTCATTCAGCAAGGGTCCCCTGCAGGAACTGTATTTTATAGTGACCACAGGTACCAGGAGCATCTGGACACACATCTCTGGACAGTTGGACAGTTGATAGTGAAGATTGGCGTGTAGGGGTGAGGGTGACAGATGACCAGGCACACCTCTGCGGCCAGCTCTGAGCATGATGTGGGGGCAATGGAGACAGGTACTGCACTGGCAGCAGGCAGACTGGGCTCTCCGGGAAACCCCCCTGGAGTCTGCTTTGGCAGGAACTAAGGCCCATGTCCTTGGAGCTTTGCCCCCACCCAATGCTCCAGGAAACTTCTTGAAATTTGGTGTCCACAGTCTGGGACTCCCTTCAGTGGCTCCACTGTGGTCACCATGGAGTCTGAGACACAAGGTCCTTGTGCTCACCATGGTGTCTGATGGTCTGATCAGGGAGCGGAGCCTTCTGCCAGCATGATTCTGCAAACGTCCTGCTGTGACATAATTCCATCATCCTCCTCATCAAGTTCATGCCATCAGAAACAAGCCTTTGTGATATCGATTGAGTCCTATCAAAACAGGGAGAAATGCTTTTTAAAAGGCACCTGTGAGAGTGCAGCCCTGTCTGTGGGCTGTCCTGCACAGGGCCAAGCTCAGGTTTATGCGGGGACAGTGTCGGGCTCCCCAAGGGGACAGTCCTCGGGAGTGATGAGGACAGTACTGAGGCACTGATGGAGCCCTCTGGGTATATTGATGAGTGCCCTTTGGGGTTCCGGTCTCTGTGGGGCATTGGCTTCCTGTGTTAGTGTGGAGAAATGTTGATTTTATGTGAAGCCGGTGTGTGATAGAAAGAAGACTATCACAAGTCAGTCCTTCTGTTTGTTTGTTTATTTATTTATTTATTTATGTTGACCCATTGCCTCTAGTGTTTGTTGAAAAAGTACTGAAGAGACTTTATGCGAAGTCTTCCTGTGGGCAGGGCAAGAAGGCCCTAAAGACTCCTGCCTCTGTGGAGCCTCCAGAGAAAGCCGCACCTGAGACCGTGGACTGCCAGAGTGTCCCCCCTCAAGCAGACGAGGGTGCTGCAGGTGAGAGAGTGACAGATCCAGGTCTTCTCGCACTTGGAGGATCTCTGGATTGCAGGCAGCCAGGTAAGAGGGTTACAGACCCAGGTCTTCTCACACTTGGAGGGTTCTGATTGTAGGCAGCGCCATGCTCCCATCACCATTCTTCATGCAGAAACATTCTTTTTCACAGCACAGCACTGACTCTTACCGAGATCAGGGCTTCTGGGCCACTCCTGGTGGTGCTTGGCTGGAAGCACAAGGCTGCGGGGGGCCGACAGTACTAGAGGGTTCAGATGATATACGGGTGGAAGTCTTGTGCAGGGAACTGTCTTCCCAGTCCCACAACATAGAGGAGTCTCAGACCATTGGCAGAGGGCACGCCATCCCTCTCCAGCCCTGGCAACCACAAAGCCACTTTCTGAGTCCCCAGTTGCTCCCTTAGGTTCTCTGTGATTTTCTCACAAAGCGTCTGTGTTGAGCTTCATCCAGCTTCATCCAGGTTCCGGGGTCTCAGTGCTTCCTTTCATTGCTGAATGGCCTTCCACATATGCTACCGTGCAGTGTGTCCACCCTTCCTTACCGGGCATCGGGCCTTCTTCCACACAGGTGCACTTAGACCCCACTGCCATGAGTGCCCAGGTCCAATGGTGTATGTGGAACTGCCTCTTCACCGCGCTGCACCCAGCAGTGGAGTGCTGGGTGTCAGGGAACGAGTCTGTCTGATCTCTGAGGCCACACTTGCCTCCCTGCACCCTGTGGCAGGTGCGGCTCTGGTCCCACCACCTCGCGCTGGCCGTCCCAGGGAGCTGGAGCTGTGCTGCCCATCAAAACCAAGACTGTGGTTTTGATGGGCCATCCTGTCCTGTGCATTAACCGTTCATGAATTTTCTTCAAAGAAATAGTTCAACTGTTTGCTTATCTTTAAAATGGAAGTTTGGGAGCTAGAGCGATAGCACAGTGGGTAGAGTGTTTGCCTTGCACGCAGCCAACCCGGGTTCAATTCCCAGCATCCCATGTGGTCCCCCGAGCACTGCCAGGAGTAATTCCTGAGCACATGAGCCAGGAGTAACCCCTGTTGCCAGGTGTGACGCAAAAAAAAAAAAAATGGAAGTTTGTCTTTTTGTTGTTGTAAGAATTGGTTGTTACCCGAATTGCAGATACTTTTCAGAGAACAATTTGTGAATATTATTTCCCATACTATAGGTTGTCTTTTAACTTTCTTAATAGAGTCCCTTAATTTTGATGAGATTGGCTATCTCTGTTATTTTATTATTGTTACCATTATTTGGGGATGGGGTGGGGCCACATTTAAGAAATTGGCAGTTGAGTGTCATAAATTTTATACCCAGGTTTTCTTTTAAAGGTTTTGTGATGTTAGCTCTTCTGTTTGAATTATTGACCTTTCGAGTTGATGTTTGACCCTGTGTGAGACAAGGCAGATTCTTCCCTTTGTGAGGGTGCTCAGTGGTCCTGATGCCACGTGTGGAAGAAGTTCCCTTTCACATTGTGTGGACACAGATGGATGGGCCTCCGGTGCTCCACCATTGATCTGTATGTCTAAAATTAGGCCAGGACCATGCTGAATCAATTGTCCTAGTTTTATAACAGATTTTCAGATCAGGACTTTTGAGTCTGCAGCTTTGTTTTTTTCAATATTGTTTTAATTGTTCAGGGTCCTTTGCAGCTCATCTGTATTTTAGCTTATGAATATCTACCCAAAAAGCAACTGAGACAAAGTACACTAAATCAAAACATCAGGGGGAAATTTTTGCTATCTTGACAATATTTGGTTGCCCAACCTATTAATTTAGGAAATCTTTCCATTTATTTTTGTCATCTTTAATTTTTCAGTGTTTTATGTTTTTAAATTAAAAATTTTGCATTTAAAAAAGTTTAATGTATTTGATTCTTTTGAGAATTAGATATTTGTGTTTTCTTTTTGTTTTGTTTTTTGAGGTGGGGAGCAGATGTTGGGCCATAGGGTTTACTCCTGACTCTATTACTCCTGGTGGGCTCAGGGGATCATTTGGGATACTGAGTATTGAACCAGATAAGCAGTGTGTAAAGCAAGTGCCCCATCTGCTGTAAGATCTCTCCGGCCCCACGTAGTTGTCTTTTCTTTGGGACTTGTATTGTTAATGAATGGAAATACAGATAAATCATTTGTCTTGGATTGCTCTTTGATGTCTTAAAGTAAAATAAAATAAAGGCCCTCCCGTTGATCATCGATTTGCTCGAGCGGGCCCAGTAACGTCTCCATTGGAGACTTTGTTGTTACTGTGTCTGGCATATCCAATACTCTCGGTAGCTTGCCGGGCTCTCCGAGAGGGGCGGAGGAATCGAACTCGGTTCGGCCATGTTGGCTGCGTGCAAGGCAAATGCCCTACCCGCTGTGCTATCGCTCCAGCGATGTCTTAAATATAGAAATACAGATTTTCAGATATAATACAACAATATGGTACAGAACTACATTTTCAGAATATTTATATTGTTTCTGCTATATTAGCTCTACAAGTTTGCTTGTTTTCCTGATGCTGGAATTGAACCAGTCAGGGCTGAAAGCCTGACAGGGTCCTGGGACTCCCATATCCACATTTTCTCCACATGGATACATCATGTCATATGTGCCCACCTGGCTGTTCTGGGGGATATCAGAAGTGTGTGTGTGTGTGTGTGTGTGTGTGTGTGTGTGGTGTGTGTGGGGGGGGGAGGCGTCACTGAATCTTTGCTTCCGTTTTAATGTGACCTGTAAACTACTCATAGGGATTAAAACCTTGTGGGAAGGTTTTTAGGCGTAACCCCATGGATTGCCACATGCTTTGCACACGGGACATCCAGGTCCAGCTCCCAGCACTGCATACAGTTCCCAGAGCACCTCCAGGGGCAGATCCTGAGCCCCGCTCAAAACCAACAGCAGCAAAGCAGGATCTGCACATTCCTGCCCTCTAGGTGCTCTGGGTGGCGCAGGGGCTGAGCTGTCAGGAGCAGCACCAGCAGGTGCAGAAGAGGGAGGGGACGATGGAAATGCCTGCAGGGTTGCAGCTGACAGTCTGAGCCATCCCTGACACCCTCCAAGGGGAGGACAGAGCTGACCCTGTGAGGGAGTAGAGTTCCCATCCCCTGGCATCCTGCCCCGGGACCATCCTGTCAACTGAGATTGCAGGTGTCCAGTGTGGATGTCCAGTCCCCGAAGGCTGGAAGTACTGGAGCATTTGGTTGCAGTATAGGCAGATTTAACTATCTCAGGGAAGCTTCCGGAGCTCATTTCTGTGGCGGCTTGTGAGGGGCTGTGAGGTGCTGTGCTCAGTCCCTTGGCACTTCCTCTCACGTTTCCTTCCTTCTGGGGGCCTGGGCGGCCTGCTTCAGTGCTCAGGCCCTTGGTACAGGGATTGGCCTTGGGGCCTGCGCTGCAGCCCTGGCAGCATCCCCCTGGTCCCTTCCCTGACATTTCTGAGGTTGGCTCTGGGGGTGGTTCTTTTTATAAGATGCCAGATTGGAAAACTGAGAAGTGGTTTTGTTCAATTGGTTGGATCACTGCTGCAACCGTCACCAGGATAGAGAAGGAAGCCGGCACCCAGGAGCGGCCGAGGGTGGTCCCGGGGCCAGGCAGGGCGAACGGCTGCTCCTTTGCCCCCTAGGCCCACTGCCTGAGTCCAGGGCATGTTTGCACAGAGTCCTGACATGTCGCAGGCGCCGGTGGCAGGGATGTGGAGGACATGGCCTGTTTTGACCCTTCCAGGTTTGAGGACCTGGCACAGACAAGTTCAGTACAGAGTAGGGGGCCCTGGAAAAGGACTGAGAGGGTGGAAGAAGCACCCCTGAGTGAGTCTTAGTGGAGGGAGCACCTCTGAGTGAGTCGGGGCAGAGGGAGCACCTCTGAGTGAGGGTGGAAGGAAGTACGCCTGAATAAGTTAGTGGGTGGAGGGAGCACCCCTGAATAAGTCAGAGGGTGGAGGGAGTACCCCTGAGTGAGTCAGGATGGAGCACCTGTAAGCCTACAAGCTCAAGCAGGCCAGCATCTGCCTCCAGTGGCTTGGTGAGGTGCTGGGCTGCTGGTTGCAGATCTGGGAGGGGACGTCGTCTTCCTGGGAGGACAGTGGGTTCTGCCCACGGCCCAGTTAAGGAAGAGGCACACTGCCGCCCACATGCCTCCCTTCCAGCCCAAACTGTGGACTGGCCTGTGCATGCTGCTGGGCCCTCTGTCAGCACAGCCCACCTCGGGAGGTCAGTGGGGACCCGGGGACACTGCATCCAGCCTGCAGCTCTGGAACTCCGCCTGCTCGACTGCACCCCGGGCTGTGGTCGTTGCAGTGGTCTGTGTCCTCCAGCACTGAGGTGGGCAGCTGGGCCTGGAGCAAGTTGCGGCAGCACACAGGTCTCTGCAGCCTGGGCGAGATCCTCCTGGGGCTGGAACTCCTGCAGGGAGAGCTGTGGGAAGCCTTTCCCCAAGTCCCCAGACATTCATCCACCCTGGAGCAGCGGGACGACAAGGCCTGCTGGGATGGGGAACAGTGCCAGGGAGTCAGGGCAGCAGTGACATGGTCTCTCTGCAGCCCTCGTCCTGCTCCAGGAAGTGAGAGGCATAGGCATCACTGGTGGTGGGGCCCAGTGTGAGGGGCACAGCCATCACCCATGAAGGACAGTGTGAGGGGTGCAGGCATCGTCTGGGGGAGGCCCAGTGTAAGGAGCACGGGCACCGTTCTTGGGGGCCAGCCGCACCAGTGTCCTACTCTGCAGCCACACACAGCTGCTCGCACAGTAGCTGCAGCTGCCAAGGGAAGGGGAAGGGGAAGGGAAACCTCAGATGAACATAGTCAGAGCCTAGGAAGGAAGCAGCCGTTTCCACAGAAAATGATGCTGTCTGTGGTAAGTGGACTCGCGGTGCTGGACAGGGGAGCAGCACAGTGCATGTTAGCCTGTTCCTCGTGTCCCAGCCTCGTCAGCCCCAGGCCCACTGCAGAAGGGCAAACCTGCGAGTCTTGGGAAGGGTGCGAGCGAAGACACACTTTGATGCCACACCCCCACCCTGGCTTCTGCATCAGCCCTTCCTGGTCGTGTCCTGTGCAGGCGATGTCGCGGCCTCGCCTCAGTTCAGTCATGCTGGAGAGCCTCAGAGATGTCTCTGCATCTGTGTAGGGTCGCACATGCCCGTCCCTCCAGGAGGTGCTCCACGTGTCCCCGGGGCTAGCACCCAGCTGTGTGACTGGGAGCATCAAGCAGCCATGTGGAGTGTTCACTACCGAACTCAGCAAGAGGAAGAAAAGGCAGGGAAAGGAACAGTCTGTCGTCAGGATGTTCCCTGGGGTGACAAAAGAGATGATGGTCTCAGGGCAGCTGGGGTTCAATATACCCACGGGTCCACAGAGTTGGGGAGCAGGAGGCCAGAACTGAGCACAGCCTGGGTGTGTGACAAAAAAGCAACCCACTTGTAATGCCAAACAGTGACTCCCCAGCAGAGAGTCTGGGAGTCCAAGCAGGAGCGTATGATGAATTCAGGTGAGATGAAGAGGCCAGAGTGACAGTGTTCCTCAGAGCAGCACCAGAGGCCCCAGATAAGTGACCTGACAAGTCCGTGGGGTATTAGCCAGCGGTCAGAAAGGAGTGTGGGTCTAGATCTGTGCCAGTGTAACAGTGCCAAGAGCACACCCAAGTGGAATGCCTGCACGGGCTGTGCCCCTCTGCCCCCAGAACACCGGGCAGCCTGAGAGCCGAGTTGCCGGTGCCATGAGGGGCATGGCACCCAAAGTCCTCGAGCTTCTGCCTCCTGAGTTCCATGCTTTATGTCATGTTGTAACTCCCACAAGTTTTCCATAAAAAGTAACGGCGTGTATTTGGATCATCAGAAATCAATGCATCCTTTTGGCCGGATGTGTATGTAGCTGATGCAGTCTTCTAGGGAAAAACTTGGCTTCTTGAAATCAGTATTTATTATACAGGGGAGGTTTGGTTTGGCTTTTGTTATTTGACGTGTTTTTGTTGTTGTTTCTAGCTGATTCCTTGCCTTCAGTCAGTTTGATGGGAGGGTTGAAGGTGCGTGATGTCAGATTTCATCCCGAGGGACTGACCACGCCTCCTGTGCTTTGTGTCCCTCTGCAGGTGGCAGCACCGCAGCCCTGGCTCCTGGAAGGCGCCTGTACACAGTGAGCCTGCCCCCTGATGGCCTCCTCCCGGTGTGGCCGGAGCTGCCCTGTGACGCGGGCTCCCCGAGCTCCTCCAGCAGTGAGGCCGAGGCCGAAGCTGAAGCCGCAGCAGGTAAGTGGTCCTGGTGGCTGCTGGGAGGGAACATTGCTGATGGGCAGTCCCGGGTACCGTGGGCGCCACAGCCTGGATGCGAGCGAGTAACTCACGTGCTTGAGAACAGCCGGGTCTGAGACGTGATGGGATCCACGGCCGTGTGCACTGGGAACCCAGAGGAGCCAGGCCAGTGGCTACAGTACGTTTTTTTTCCCGCAGAACTTTTTTTTTTTTCTGTATCTTCCAATATTTTTCAAAATTCCTGCCATTCTTGTGTTGATTTTGTGATCGTGGCAATAATCTGCTTTGCGTTTATTGTGATCTTCACTTTTGATGCCGGCTGGCTGTAGGAATGAAGGTGAGCAGAGGGCCTAGGCATAGCATTCACCAGGAAAAACATTCTTGTTCCCCTTAAATTCATTGTTTCAAAACTTCTCTCAGAAGAACTCCAGTTATCAGGAAATATATTCTCTAAATGCTTTTAGTAGTATTAACTAGGAAACTGTTATACAATGAGCCTGAGTTAATTCCAGTATCAAAAAAAAAATAACATTTTTCTAGGACATTGATTGGATTGATTTTCTCCTTAAAGAGTTGGAAAGCCTAAACTCACAAATGGGAGAAGGGAGGGATGACATTCGTCTTTGAAGCCTGTTGACTTCTTGGGATATAACTTTAGATAAATAGTTTAATTGGAAATTTTAGTAACATTCTTGTGAGCAGTGATCTTGGTGAAGAAATTTCATTGTGCACTTAATAGCCACAGAACTCATGTTCCTCCCAAGCTGGCCATGTGGTGGAGGTGTAGCATTCAGGTGGAAGGGGGAGGAGATAATTGTAGGAAAAAGCCAGAGAAGTGGCCCGTGTTGCAAACCACATCCTGTAGCATGGGACCTTCTCTAAGATGTAGCGCCTGCAGCATCAGAACCAGAACACAAGCTCCTTCCTGCCCACCTAAGCACACTGCTCTCCGTCTCTGTCACCAGGCTCCTGCCCCCCCCCCACCCCTCAGGTGAGCCCTAACCTTTTAAGGTTAGGTCCCCCTGCAGTCTACACTGTCCTCTCTCCTTCAGGATAAGCAGATCAGGAAAGTGCTGCTGGTGGTCTGGTTTCTTATTATGCTTCAGACATTTGGTGTCTGACAGGAAAATGAATTTTAGCATGTTTTCCTTTCCCTCTTGGCTCTCCAGCTGAGCTGAGACCTCTGCCCTGCACATTCCTTTCAGTGTGGTATCTGTGTAGAAAAATGCTACAAAAGTGTTCATTAGGTGTGGAAACACCATTTTCTGAAGTCCACTGAAGCAAGCACTGTTGAAGCTGAGGCCACGTGCGCATGCCACGTCTCCTCAGCAGAGCTAGGGCCAGTGGGCTCCATGTCCATGTGGGAGTGGAAGCTCCATGCACACGTGCTGTGGCTCTGTGTCCACGTGGGAGTGGGAGCTCCATGCACATGTGCCGTGGCTCTGTGTCCACGTGGGAGTGGGAGCTCCATGAACATGTGCCATGGCTCCGTGTCCACGTGAGAGTGGGAGCTCCATGCACACATGCTCTGGCTTTGTGTCCATGTTGGGAGTAGGAGTTCCATGGACACATGCCGTGTCTGTGTCCACATGGGAGCGGGAGCTCCATGTACAAGTGCCATGGCTTTGTGGCCACGTTAGAAGCGGGAGTTCCATGTACGCATGCTGTGGCTTCGTGTCCACATTGGGAGTGGGAGCTCCATGCATACATGCCGTGGCTCCGTGTCCAAGTTGGAAATGGGAGCTCCATGCACAGCACTCAGTGGCTGTGTCTGTGTGGGTATGTGGTACAGCAGAGACCTGGTGGGTAGAGGCAGGGCCTACCAGCCTGTCCCTTCTGGTTCATGAACCATGACCAGTTCATTCACTTGTAGCCACTTAGCTCTCATTTTCCATCATCTGTTGCTGATGCTCATGGGCTTAGCCTCATTTATTTTTCTCAAAACGTAACTCTTTAGAAAATACTATAGTAAGATTTTTTTTTTAGCAGCAAAATAATTTTTCCCCTTAATCATAGCAAGGGAATTTTTTGGTAGTGTAAGAATTCTCCCAGCCTTGAGAGCTCTCATGTATGGGGACAGACAAGTGAATGTGTTACATTCCTTCTTGACTTTGTGAAACAAACACGTTGTGCCAGTTAAATCAAGTCCCAGGATCCTGGTGGCATAATAAGTTAAGGTAAATATTTTAAATTCCTTTTCCAATAAGACTGTAATATCCTAGGGGAAATAGCAAAGTGGCTTTATTATTCCATTACATAGAATAGTGTTGTATTTGATTTTTGTTTTATAGATCAGGAGCTTCATGATCAACCAAAGAGAAGAAGAATTAGAAAGCGTAAGTCAAAGAAAACACAAGAAAACCTCAGTGACATTCCTGCAGAAAAAGCTGAATTGGAGAAGCAGCGAGGTCTTTCTTGGAAAACACTGCAGCCATGCCACACAGAGGGTCCCACCCTGAGCAGAAACAAGAAAAGGAAACTGAAAAAGAAACAGCAAATTAAAAGGAAGAAAGCTGCAGGCTTACTCAGAAAGACTTGTGCTATGAACTTCCTGTACCAGCCTGAAGAGGGAAGCAGTGAGCCGGGGAATGAGGATGAAGAGGCTAAGCCAGACCTGCCGCCGGAAGTGGGCCCCAAGGCCCAGGAGCCCGGGGTGGACCTGGAGCCAGAAGTAGGCACTGAAGCCCCTGAGGAAGGAGTCAGCAGGACTGATAAAAAGGTAGACGACATCCTAACATTCTTGAAGTCAACACAAGAACTTTACTTTTATGATGGTATGTTTTTTTCCTGGTTCCCCCCCCCCCCCCCCATAATGGTATCCACTTCTTTGGAAAAGTAAGAAAATACAGCAAAATAGTTACATGTTCAAAATATAAATGTTTGGGGGCTAGAGACATAGCACGACGGGTGAGGTGCTTGCCTGGCACACGCCTGACCCAGGTGTGATTCCCACATATGGTCCCCTTGAGTACTCCAGGAGTGAGCCCTGAGCACCACTGGCTATAGCTCAGAGATAAAAAAAAAACAAGTTTAAATATAAATATGACTATGGTAATATTCGGTATCAAAAAATAAATAAATCATGCTGAAGGCAGCATTAGGGCATTTAAACTCCTTCCCCAGAAGTCAGAGAGGGTCCCTGGAGCCGCCCAGCCTGCCCCTCAGCGCAGCTCTGGGATGTGGAACCTACACGTCCTCAGCCCAGCATCCCGCTCAAACTGGGATGAGTTCATGTTGCCTCAGTGAAGAGAGCGGTGAAAGCAGAGCAGTCACTCTCCTGTGGGGCTGCTTGGTTTTTACTCTTCTCTGAAGAGTAACTTGTGATTTAAGATTTCTCAGAAGTTATCTTGGAGTGACTGCATTTTTGCAGGAGCTGAGAAAGGAAAGGAGATTTGTTCTCAGGGTGATGATTGCTTCCTTGTGTTGAGTTTTACATAAACTGAGCTGAGGATGAGGAAGAAGCAGGGTAATGTATGTGACCCCCCACCCTCACCCCGCAAACCAGAACCAGGCAAACGCCTGTCTTGATGGCTTTCCTAGTGGGTGTAGAGTAGATTCCAGCCAACATTCAGCTTTTCCTATGAACTAGATTGAGAAATGGGGACTGTGAATTAATGGGGGAAATGAGGAGCAGATTGAACAATGATGGCCTGAAAGCACCATTAATAAACTGGTTAACACCTGGAGATGGCTGCCCTTCCCTCATCATGTCCAGGTGATGGGAAGGCTTGGCCAAGCCAAACTCTGAAGCAGTGTTCCTCACATGTCAGTTCCTGTCACAGAGCCAACTAGAAAACCAGACCCCAGGCAGCAGAGTCCCTCCTGCGTGGAGCAAGGGCAGATAACGGCCACCCTCCATCTGACTAACCATCCCTCTGTCTGCCTAGCAGAGAGGCAGGACACCCGCTCTAGAGGAGAGTGCCATTGGCCAGATGTTCCATATTGTCCATTTCCACAGGGTAGGGCATGGCAGTCAGGACTGGGAGGTGAAGGGAGGCCTCCAAGTGTGAGTTGTGTCTGGGCACCTGTGTGAGTGTCACCCAAGTGTCCAAGAGGGCGGTGGCATCAGTGTGAAGTGTGACATCTCCCTGAATGGCATTCTCTGTTCAGGTGCAACCGGGGATCCGGAGTTGTCTGTTTCAATGGAATCAGCTGAGCAACTTCTCACGCACCTTGAAACCCACGGCCTGCCCTGCTCGGACGTCCTCATTCTGGATCACATGAAAACACTGTTATTTTTGGAAGACACTCCAAGATTAAAGCATGCCCTGGAAGTGTTCCCAGAGCACTGCCTAATGCCTCCAGGTATGTCCTTCCCAGGTGCTCCCGGTGCTACACACAAAGCTGTTGGCTGGTTCCTCAGGAGCCCAGAAGACGTGCCGCTTGCTGCGTGGCTGTGGGTGGCACTTCCCTGTGTGCAAGAGGGCGAGGACATCACATGCGGTGTTTGCAAATGCGCAGTCTTCAGACATGTATACACTGCCACCAGGCTGGAGCCCTCCCTCCTGAGCTTGTGCGAATGCAAGGAAACCGCTTTTGTTCTCCTTGGCCAAGTGTTGGCAAGTTGACAAGCTCTGTTCTCCACAGCGGGTGAGCTTTGTAGAAGCCCTGCTCTCTGGAGGGGTAGATTCACAGTTGGTTCTTCACTTCCTTGGGCACCTTTAGAGGGTGCCATTCTGTGCACCCTGTAGCTTTCCTGTCAGCCTGAAGGGGGCAGTGCTGGGAATGTCATCCCACAGTGATTTTTCAACCCTTAAGTACAGAAAGCAGAGTGTTTGGGAGAGCTGTGGCAGCCGCAAACTTGAGCACACGACCCCATGTCTGACCTAGAACAGCGACCTACTTATTTTCTGTCAGATGAGCGAGCAGAAGCAGTTCTTGGGTCACACTGAGGAAATGGCCCGCAAGGGCCATGCAGGCTCTCCTCCCAGTAGCCTCTGCATGAAGCTGAAGAGTCAGACCGATGGGTGAGAAAGTGAACAAGGTTGGAAGTTACTTACCAGTTCAGCCATCTGAACACACACATAATGGGGCCACAAGTGACTCCATCATACTGGAGACCTTTGTGGTTGGGGTGCCAGGAGCAGCTGCCTCACTGCCCGTCTCTGCTTCCACAGCCTCACGCCCGGTGCGTGGTTCCAGAGTTCCAGTCAGGCTGCAGGTAGAGAACCTGTCGCTGGAGCTCCCCTCCCCAGAGAGGCACCGGGGCGTCCCTGGACTCTCTCTGCCGTGGGACCTACAGCCAGGGCAGACCCTGCCCTGCAGATGCTCGGCACTCACCAAGCCTCAGCCTCTGCCAACCTGTGTTGCTAGTTGTGTATTTTTGTGGGTTCTCAAGCTACTTTTTTTTCTTTTTATATTTTCACGAGAGCTTTATCTCAGATTGCAGAATTTCAGTTGTATTACGTTAAATTCACTATCACTATCACCCCGTTGTTCATCGATTTGCTCGAGTCGGGCACCAGTAACATCTCCATTCGTCCCTGTCACGTGCTAGTGTAGCCCAATGGCATACTGGCGGCTCTTTCAGGGTCAGGGGAATGAGGACCATTGTTGTTACTGTTTTTGGCATATCGAGTATGCCACAGGTAGCTTGCCAGGCTCTGCCGTGCGGGTGGGATACTCTCGGTAGCTTGCCGGGCTCTCCGAGAGGGATGAAGGCTTTTGGAGCAGCCTCTAATCACCTTTACAGGTGTTCCCAGTTACGTATATATGTGGGCAAGATACTCTCAGTAGCCTGCTGGGTTCTCTGAGAGTGAGAACTAGAAAATAAGAGGTCACGCGGCCGCAAATGTGGCCGTGTGCTTCCAGTAGCTTGGTTTTATAGTCTCTGGATCCTGGCCGTTAATGGGGTTACACGGCAGTTGGTGTGTAACTACGGGAAGATGGGGGATTAAATTTAATTAATTTAATTAAGTTAAATTAATATGAAGTTATTTGAGAGATGAAAATAAGTCATTTAAAATTCTGGCCCCAGCACCCAGGTCCCTCTAACTTCCCAGAGAGTGGAGTAGCCCCTGAGCACTGCAGGTGTTGGCCCTAAAAACACAGAAACAGGCAACTATTCAAGTGTTGATGTTTGTGCCTTCACAGGTTCTGCTTCCAGAGCCTCCCGAGCTGGGCCTGGGCAGAAGGCTTCCCTCGGGCTTAGAGCTGTAGCCCGGCCTCTGTGCAGGTGCCTTCTTTGGAAATGTCTTTGAAGCTGTTCTCGGTAGAGTGTGTGTGTTGGAGATGCCTCTGGGGTTCTGAAGGCAGGCTGTTATGTAAAATCGCATTTTATGACTGAGGAGCTTTGTTTCCAATATTGCTCATGTCTGATGCAGCCCAGCTATTAGCATTTGAAATGTTTTTCATAAAACTGTGTCTCTCCCTTGGTTGAAGGCTCTGTCTTGTCACTATGGGTCAGTGTGAGAACATCCACGTTCTGAGTAGAAACAGGTGATTTTCATCTGGATGAGTCCTGCCACTCTGCCTCAGCCTGATTTTTGATCATTTCTAGATGTTTCCTTGGACTCGGATACAGACCCATTTTCTCACCTTTGGTGCTTGTGAATTCAGAGTCAGGACAAGGCTAATTGAGCAGCACCCATGGGCCTCAGCTGACTTGCCGCCTTAGGTTACAGCTGCCCCCTGTTGGCTTCATCAGGAAAACCTAGTGGCGCTGGTGTGGGGACTTCTGCCCCCCCACCCCCTCGCAACCCCCTGCGTGCTATTGGCAGGCGCTGGTGCTCCCTCACAGAAAGACGTGCCCAGGCAGAGGCCCCTCGGGCGGCCTCTTGGCCTGGGGCAGCTGGGGGTGGTCTCTGGGCCTTGGGACACCTGGAGGTGTGTGCCTAGCCTGCAGCAGACCAAGCGGGAGCTGTGAGGTGGCCCTGGGACCTTTTGTTTGGGGTGTTATCGGGAGTGATCCTGAGCCACATCCCTGCAGCCTCCTCCTCCCCCATGGATCCTATCCCAGCTGCCTTTGCCCTGAGAGCAGTGTTGGACCCAACACTGTTGGACCTTCCCCAGCACAAGCCCAGGTTGGAGTTGCTGCCCTGGGCCCAGGTGAGGGAGACCCCTGCTCCCCCCAGCGCAGCAGATAGGTAAGAGCAGAGCCCAGGGCTGCACCCGGAGCAGTGTGAACGTTCTGGAAAGCCTTCTGGAAAGCCGAGTGCTCTGTGGTCTCCTTCCACAGTCTCGCTGAGAATTCCACCTGAGCGCGCGTCACTCTGACTCCCATCTCCTTCCCTGGTGGCGTCTGATTTCCTTTCTTAAAGTCTGAATTAGCGGTACTCTATTTGAACTGGTAGGGTCCATACTGAGTAACTACAGCTTCAGAACGGATTCATTTCCCCTATTTGTTATGTGACATACAACTGACAAGCTGGCTTACTACCACCAACTTAATTTGTATACAGAGTTGCATTTTATTAGATTATTTTAGGACTTGTTGTCCATTGGCTGGTGCATGTGAAGTAATAAGGCATACTTTTTGTTGAATTTCTTTTTGCTTTCTAGATCATGCCAGAGTCATCTCAGCTTTCTTTTCTTACTGGATTACACATATCCTTCCTGAAAAACAAACAAGCAGTGAATAACAGCAGAACATCTACTGAAGAAGAGCTAATATCTGACAAGAGAAACAGAGAACACAGACATGAGGGCTGCAGTTTCTGCTGCATTTGACTCTTAGTGGCTGGCAGCTCCAAGTGGCCCCAAGCTGTAGTTCCTCCCTCACTTGGCCTGAGGCCGCATGTAAAAGGCTGGAGATTTTGCAGCGAGCAGTGAGAGGCCCTTTCCTTCCCCTTCCATTATTTTTTGTTCATCCTTGTGCTGCTCTGGCTACCTCCTGTGAGCTATGCGGCCCTGGCCCTTGAGGCAGCTCAAATTCTCCGAGCCCAGAACAGTGTCTGGGAATCAAGGTGCTGGGCTGCGTATACTGAGTGAGCATGCTTATTCAGCCCTAGAAAGTGAAGTGACTTTGGAACCTTGGGTGGATCTGAATGTCCCTGAGGGTGGAGAATCCTGGCAGAGTTCCCAGAAGCCACGAGCCACGTGTAGTGGCCAGTGTTCTGCCTGCAAGGTTAGGGAGGCAAGGACTAAAGACTCAGGCCCCTTCAAAAGAAGACACAAGGACCGAGTCCGAAGGCAGAAGGATGGATCCCTGAAGAGACGGGATCAGAGACACCGGCGTGGTCAGGAACACGGAGGCATGCACACCCCAACACAGACACCCATACACACCGTCTGCACATGTGTGCCTTCAGCAAGCAGAGGCGCCTTCCACACCGGCTCCATATCTGGGCCACAGCAATGGGGTGTTTTCTTCTCTCCTTCCCGGTGAGCACTGTGCTTCCAGAGAATCCCAGGGACGAGGTGGTTTCCTCTCAGCAGGCAGGGAGCACCTCACTTCGTTCTGTCTAGGCGTCAGTTCCAGTCAGGAGCTGACCAGTTGGCGTGCGTCTCAGAGAGATGCCCCCTCCTCACTGTCCCCTTCTGAACTCATGGCCTTCTTCCGCCAGAGCAGAGCAAGCTGCTGCTGCTGTGCCTGTTGACCGTTGCCATTTTCCCTGTTCACTCTCAGCACCTGGCACCTGAACTCTCTGGGAGGTATACCATGAAGAGGACAAAATCCCCTTTTCCCTGCTCTCCACTGACAATTTGAGCTGAACCAATGCCTGAGTTTGAAATTCAAAATTTAAAATTCACACTGATTGCATCATCTCCTTTAACCTAATGAAAATAGCAGTTTTGTTCTAAACCTTGTCATTGAAAAGAATATGTGACAAAATTATATATATAATATTTTTCTAAAACCAGTGGGTTGAGTGGGGCCAGAAACTCAAGTTATAGAGTGCGTGAGTAAATTCTTCTATTTGGCCAAAATTATGTTGCTCCATCTTTTAAATATGTTTTTTAATGGACCTAGAGGCGGGATTCTACATCTTTTTCCAAATCTTGCTTTCCCACTGTCTCCTGGGAAAACACATTCCAATGTTTTAATTTGAGATCTTTTCATCACGAATAAGCACATTTAGTCTTTTTGCAGTTTCATCCACCTCTTTACCAAGTAAGATCAGTGTTGCAACAGATAAGTGAGGGGCCCTGGTAACAAGCTTTGGGGAAATGAAAGAGCTTAAGAAGAGGGGCTAGAACAATAGTACAGCAGGTAGGGTGCTGTACGATTATTGCTCAGCAATAGTACAGACTGACCCAGATTTGATCCCCAGCACCACATATGGTCCCTGAGCACAGTGCCAGGAATAAGTCCTGAGCGTTGCTGGGGGTAGCCCCCAATAACTTTAAAAAATCCCCTATCCCTGAAGCAGCCCACAGGCATGAAAAAACAGATCCTTTTGAGATGCAAATCATAATCTCTTTGGTCAGGGGAAAGATAGACCCCTCAGGAAAGGAGAAGCTCCAGAACCCTCTGCAGGTCATGCAAAGAATGTGAAAGGACCATCAAGTGTCCAAGGCTTTCACTGTGACAATGTCCAGATTAACCTTTAGAGAACTTCAGGCCAAGATGATATTGGAAAAATTATTTTTAACCTCCTCCCAAGAGTCATTCTGGACTTAATCCACTCTGGAGAAGCTCATGTTGTCGAACATGTATCTCTCTCTCCCCTTTCACATCTCTCTCCAAACTTCTTTCAATAAAAACTATTTTGCTTCACTGTTTCACCTCCTCCTGAAATTGTTTTCTTTTAAAAATAAAAGAAAATTTAAAAATTTTAAAAAAAAATTGTTTTCTGTAAGGTAAAGCAATGGACCAAGAACCCCTATGTCCAAGTTAGGACTTTCCTGCAAAGAGCAATTCCTCGCTCCAGTCTGAGTCACTGGCTCCGGAAGAAATTGGATGGAAGATCTCATTTCATGTGATGCATAACAAGTGGACACCAAGCACAGCTTGATGACTGTCTCTAGTGGGGCTGGAACATTGTGTTGTGTGGGTTTCCCATAGCAGACTGACCCATACCGCTCATTTCCCAACATAGGCAAGGTGGGTTAAATAAAAAGGTGGAAGCACCATTATTCAAGGCTTCCTCCTCGCTCCCCACTTCACCAAGTCCCTGGCAACCCTTTGGTAAGAGACCACTGTGAGCACCTAAAAGAATACTTCAGTGCACCTGAGAGCAGCTGAGCACAGTTGAGTATAATTGGGCATATCTAAGCATGAGTGAGCTTAAGAGCATGATAGTTGAGCAGAGTTGAGTATGACTATACATGTAAGATTATGACGGGGGTGGGGTGGGATCTGGAGATGGAACAGCTAAGTTGTAGCTTTGCACATGACTGACCCGGGTTTGATCTCCAGCACCCCATAGGGTCCCCTGAGCACCAACAGGAGGGATTTGTTAGTGCAGAGCCAGAAGTAACCCTTGAGCATCTCCAGGTGTGTCCCCACCCTCACAAAAGAAAAAATATAATTGTGGGTTTCTGAACGTAAGTGAGTATAAGTAAGTAAACTAGCTGTGCTGGTGTGCATGGCCAAAGGACCCAGAGGTTACCGATGGCTCTGGGCGCCAACCCAGTCCCCTCCTGCTTAGGTCCAGGCACTGGAGTCCAGTGGGCTTTCCTGTGTTGTCACTGTGTCCCCACTGCCTCTTATGGCACCAACTGCCTTAGATGACCTCATCTCCCTGGGGCTGGGCACACTCAAGGGCCTCATGGCTTGCAATGTGGTGATGTGGGGGTAGGGGTGTGGTGTCCTCACCTCTCCTGCTATATTCAAGAGCATAGTGCCCACCCACAAGTATGAAGTCATACCACCTCTCTGGCCGTGGAGGATCCTGGTCAGTTAATACTCAGCAGGGGCCTTAGACCCCCCCAGTGCCAAGATTAGGACCTCTTCACATTTCCTGGGATATAGGATGTAAAGTGGAAAGGGGGATAAAAAGGAATGTTGGTTCCACCGTCAGACATCCCTCAGGCTCTGCCCTCCACATTTTGGTCCCATTCCTCCTGGGTTCCGTTTTATTTTGTGTTTTCGGGCCACACCCAGCAGTGCTCAGAACTTATTCCTGGCTCTATACTTAGGGATCACTCCTAGCTCAGGGAAATACAACGTATGAGGTATTGGTTGGCTATGTGCAAGGAAATTACTGTACCTGCTACTCTGTCACTCCAGACCCTCTCCTTGACTTCTGGAGCAAGGTAGGGTAGCAAGCAGGAGCCAGGGTCAGGCCGAGGACACCTCCTCAGAACACCTCTTCAGTACACCTCTGACACCTCCTCAGAACACCTCAGGATACTTCCTCAGGCCATCTCCTCAGTATACCTCTGACACCTCTCCAGGATATCTTCTCAAGTATACCTCAGGACATCTCAGGACAGCTCCTCAGTATACCCCCTCAGGACACCTTAGGTACCTCCTCAGGATATCTCCCCAGGACACCTCAGGACACCTTCTCAAGACAGCACCTCTGTGTACCTAAGGACACCTCCTCAGTATGCCTCCTCAGGACACCTCAGGATATCTCCCCAGGACACCTCAGTACATCTTCCCCGGACACCTCCTCCCATGCCTAAGAACACCTTGTCAAGGTGTTCCTCAGGACACCTCCTCAGGATACCTCCCCAGGACAACACCTCAGTAGACCTCTCCCGGACACCTCCTCCATATACCTAAGGACACCTCAGTATACCTCCTCAGGACACCTCTTCAGTACACCTCAGGACACCTCCTCAGGAAATAGCACAGAGAGCAGAGTGCAAAGTTTGTGACTGGGTGCACAGCAGGATGTTCCTCCTTAAGGAGGAAGAACATTTATTGTGAGGACAAAGATCCACTTGGAATTTGGGGTTTAGCCCCTGGGGTTACTGACCCTCTTACGAAAGGTTCTGGCAGCAGTTGTGCCAGTGTCAACCTGAGGGTATGAGAGGCACAGGGTGGAAAAACAATGGAATGTTTTCAACCTTGCAAAAACACTAATCCAGTGTCTGGTAAGTGATGGTGTTTTCACATGAAAAATACTGGAATTAATCCTGTTGGTGTTGAGTGGCAGGCGGAAAGTTGAAGAGAAGGATTTTTCAGGCTGGGGACAGATAGCCGGTGAATTGTGACCGGCACCAGTGGCCCAGGGCCTGAGGCTCCTCTTGGGGCTCTCTAGTCTGCCGCTCTTTGACCACAGACCTCTGTGTGCAGTGCTGTGCCTCAGCCGTTAAGGGGCCCACCCTGCAAGAGCAGTGGGATGAGCTCTAGAGGTCAAGGTCATGCTCCTGGTTGGTGGCCCTTTCCCAAAAGGGCTGGAGCCCTCAACTGATCCACTGTCACAGGATGCGGGGGAGGGTGCCCCAGGTGCAGACAGGCTGCTGATGCTGAACTCCTGGTTATGGACACTGTGGTGGGACCTGAATGGGAAGTGACGAGACCTCCAGGCCAGTCGTGGGTTTCAGTGGCAGACCCGCATCTCAGTGCCCAGCCACGTGGTGCATCACAGCTGGCCCCCTGTGCTCCATCTGAGGGCTCTTCTTGGTAGGTGATGGGGAGGTTCCTGACAGACAGTGCCCTCAGAGTGGGTGCTGGGTGAGTGGGCCAGGATCCTGGGAGGAGAAGCATGGGGACCTGCGCTGGTCTTCTCACCAGGATTGACTCTTCTTTTTGGGAGGTGGGGGGCTCACACCTGGTGATGCTCAGGGATTACTCCTGGCTCTCTACTCAAGAATCACTCCTGACAGAGCACCATAGGGGATACCAGGGATTGAACCCGTCGGCCACATGCAAGGCGGATGCCCTGCCCCTGTATTATAGCTCTAGCCCCAGGATCGACTCTCTCTCCAGAACCAGACTCTTCTGAGTTCCTCTGGATGCCAATTTAA